TACACAAATCCATGGGTCCGGACTTAATGCATCCGAGGGTACTGAGTGAGTTGGCAAATGTGATTGAGGACCCTTTGGCCATTATCTTTGAAAAGTCATGGAGATTGGGAGAAATCCCGGATGATTGGAAAAAGGCAAGTGTAGTGCCCTTTTTTCAAAAAAGGGAAGAAGGCCGATTCAGGGAACTATAGGCCGGTCAGTCTTACCTCAGTTCCTGGGAAAATCATGGAAGGGATCCTTAAAGAATCCATTTTGAGGCACTTGGAAGAGAGGAAAGTGATTAGGAATAGTCAGCATGGATTCACAAAGGGAAAGTCGTGTCTGACCAATCTGATTAGCTTCTATGTTGAGGTAACTGGCTCTGTGGACGTGGGAAAGTCAGTGGATGTGATATACCTTGACTTTAGCAAGGCTTTTGATACGGTCTCCCACAATATTCTTGCCAGCAAGTTAAGGGAATGTGGATTGGATAAATGGACGGTAAGATGGATAGAAAGCTGGCTAGAAGGCTGGGTCCAGCGGGTAGTGATCAACGGCTCGATGTCAGGATGGTGGTCGGTTTCTAGCGGAGTGCCCCAAGGTTCGGTTCTAGGACCGGTTTTGATACCTTTATTAATGACCTGGATGAGGGGTTTGATTGTACCCTCAGCAAGTTTTCAGATGACACTAAGGTAGGGGGAGAGATAGATACGCTTGAGGGCAGAGATAGGGTCCAGAGTGACTTAGACAAATTGGAGGATTGGGCCACAAGAAATCTGATGAGGTTCAACAAGGACAAGTGCAGAGTCCTGCACTTGGGACGGAAGAATCCCAAGCATTGTTACAAGCTGAGGACCAACCACTTAAGTAGTAGTTCTACAGAAAAGGACCTGGGGGTTACAATGAATGAGAAGCTGGATATGAATCAACAGTGTGCCCTTGTAGCCAAGAAGGCTAATGGCATATTAGGTTGCATTAAGAGGAGCATTGCCAGCAGATCCAGAGATGTCATTATTCCCCTTTATTCAGCTCTGGCGAGGCCACATCTGGAATATTGTGTCCAGTTCTGGTCCTCTCACTACAAAAAGGATGTGGACGCACTGGAAAGGATCCAGCGGAGGGCAACCAAAATGATTAGGGGGCTGAAGCGTATGACTTATGAGGAGAGGCTGAGGGAGTTGGGTCTGTTTAGTCTGCAGAAGCGAAGAGTGAGGGGGGATTTGATAGTAGTCTTCAACTTCCTGAAGGGAGCTTCCAAACCGGATGGAGAGAGGCTGGTCTCAGTAGTGACATATGTAGAACAAGGAGCAATGGTCTCAAGTTGTGGTGGGAGAGGTCCAAGTTGGATATTAGGAAAAACTATTTCACTAGGAGAGTGGTGAAGTACTGGAATGGGTTACCTAGGGAGGTGGTGGAATCTCTATTCCTAGAGGTTTTTAAGTCTCAGCTTGACAAAGCCCTGGCTGGGTTGATTTAGTTGGGATTGGTTCTGCCTAGAGCAGGGGGCTGGACTTGATGACCTTCTGAGGTCTCTTCCAGCTCTATGGTTCTATGATTCTATGATTACTGGGATTAGGAAAAAACAGAGATGGATCCCTGGTCTCCAAATGCAAAGGTGCACCCAAATTCTCTCAAAATTATAGTGTATGGGTCTCAAACTCAGTTTACCTTAGAGCCAGGGCCAGTTCTCCTAGTGGGCCAGTAGGTACCCCTCTCTGGCGGGGGTGGGTCTTCCAGGCCCACCTGCCACCCCTGGGAGATTTAACCCCACTCCCCCAGGCACCTGCCACTGGTAGCACAGCAGGGCTTCCAGCTGCTAGCTCTGTGAAACTGCCAGCACATCCCTGTGGCTCAGGGAGTTGTTCAGAGAGCCCTCCTGTCCATAGGACAGTTCCAGTGCAGCCACCCTAGGTGCCACGGCAGCTGCCCCAACCATCCTATGGACGTGATGGTCCCCCATATTCAGGTTAGCCAGGGAGGCTCTGGGTAGGCTGTGCCTCCCCCTCCACCCCCCACCCCCCCACTCATCGCAGAAGCTGCAGGGAAGTGGAGCTATTCATCAGCCTGCTCTGCTTCGCCGCCATCTCAGAAGCCAGGACTGGGGCATTCCACTTCCCACGCCACCGTGAAGCGGAGCAAGCAGGCTAGCCTGGGAGATGGCAGTGGACTCGTGCCAGCAGCCGTGCACAGGTCGGATTGTGAAACCGTTCAAGCCACAGATGGCCCGTGGGCTGAGAGTTTAAGACCCCTGCTATTGTGTGTTTATAGCCTGGCAACAGGTACAAGTCCAGCTCTGTACAATGATGTTATCAGCTCAAATGGGAAACTTCTGGAATACACTTTTTAATTGGATGTGAAGTCTCTGTTAAAAGGTAGGCTCTCAATGTTCCTTTAAAAAAATCATTTCTCCCTCTCAGTTCAGGTCAATCAATTTAATTTAACAGGACTTGCACTGGCAACATGTGCAGACATGCACAGTTGAGGCAAGGAGCCCTTGTCTGACGAGCAGTTTCAGTTATATCATATGATGCTGGAATTGCAGAAGTAAATTAAGAGACAACATTCTTAGACTGATTAGATCAACCCAAGCACCTCGGGCATGTGGCTATGGGCTGATGTACTGCAGGAGAAGGGGGGGTGGGTCGGAAAGTGAAATAAGAGAGTTAGTTTTCTCTGAAGGGGGAGGACAGAGAAAAGAGTGTGCCTCATGACTCTTCCCAGTTGGCTACACTCGTGTTTATTGTTTATAAATCTCTAATTACATGGAATGATGGGATTTAGAAGGGAGAGTTTCACTATCACTGAAACCACCAGATTATTGGAACTGCTTAAACTAGTACTAGACATGCCCGCAGTTCAGACTAAGTGTTAATACCCACTGATTGCAGACCAGAGGGTTTGACAGAGCGTAAAACTCTCAGATTAGCTAAATGTGTTTAGTTTATAAGGTTTAGTTTTAACTCTTTATTTCTTCTTGATTATTCCTTAAGGTCTGGAAACACAAACATTTGATACAAAGTTAGTCTTTACAAAATCGAGCACTGGAGACTAAAATCTTGTCCTTACAGAGCAGGTATATACAAAAGGCATCTCAGCCCTGAAAGCTCCCTTGAAACAACCCTGCTGATCTGCTTGTACTGTAGCCTTGCAGAGACCACCTCAGCTGGTGAAAGGGCAATTCAGTCTGCCTGCCAAATCACTTTAATCCTTTGCCTCAGTCTGGCAACCAGGCCCATCTGTTTATGCCAATTATGACAGTGGTGTTTGGGAAGAGCACATGTATTCACTAGACCCTGAAGAGATGCTACCCACTCCCTTCGCATGAGCCATCAGATGGAAGTGACTTTCAGTCACATTACTAATTGGGTTGGATGTGAACCAATGACCTAGAGGTGAATGTCTCTCTCTTCCATTACCAATCTTGAGTAAGCCAGTCTCCTTTATCTCTATTGAGCATGTTTAGGCTACAAAAACACACCTTGCTAGTCCATTCATTTGATGGAATGTATTACAGTATTCAATATATTTCCTATGATTTATGACAAAGCAAACCCCAAAATTACTGCTTTTAAATACATCATTGCTCTTTTTATCTAATAAATCTATCATTTTGCAAATGGTGTTATTTTATCCTCATAAGCACAGCAGTCAAAAACGGACAAAACATAATTACAATAATTTCATTTGATATCACGCCCTACTAAATGACCACTGAATATTTCCGTACATTCTCAAAGAGATGCAGATGATTGGCCTAATCCAAAAATCTTAGAAATCCATGAAATACTTTCCATTCCCCTACGTATGGCTATTATATGAAAACATATATTCTCTGATGGATGTCAGTGTTTACGTTTTGTTTCCTAAAGAGTCCAGATTGCACATGCAAAGACACAAGAGAGGATTAAATAACACTTTTCATTTCTGCAAAAAACTGGAGGCAAGAACCAAAAAATGTTTCATGTTTTTCCACAAAATTGGGATTCCTTTGCCTGCATTGCAAATTTCATTGTATTCTTAATATTTATTTAATGATTTATATAGCACCAAATGTCTGTAAAAGGGCTTTTCCTTTAATTCTTGGGCAACAATAGTATCTTTTTCATGTGATGATACCAAATGCCACACTGGCAACTGCCCAAACCCATAGCAGCAACTAACTGTAGTCTCCAAATTCCAGCACATTTTTTCCCATGAGATTCCTACAGTATATAAACACACCACAGAATCAACTCGTATCATATAACAATGTTCAAATGAGCAAATTAGTCTCTTTAACAAGATTTTCAGCAGTGATTGTGATTTTGGGTGCTAATCTTGAGACCTCTTATCAGAATCTGATTTGCAGAAAGTGGGTAGTGTCCATTCTCTGAAATCCAGGCCCTGTTAAGGTATTGCAAACGGGGCATGCAAATGCCTAGTGAATTCTAAAAATCATAACTGTTCTGTTTAGAGCTCTGCAAGGCATAAGCAGAGCCACAGGAAACACTGTGTCTTTGTTCACACTTAACAGTTTAAAGCGCAGCTGCAGCAGTGTTTTAAACTGGAAGTGGCCACGGCATGATTGCTGGAAGACCACTTTGATGAGGGGAGGAGCTAACAGAGCTTGGAGCGTGGCTCCCAGTGCTGTATCCTGGATCACACTGGTGCTTTACAGCACTGAAACTTGCTGCGCTGTGAGTAGCCCTGACCTGAGGCCGAAAGTTACAGTGCTGTAACGTGCCAGTGTAGACTTAGCCTGTTCATGCTCTTATTAGGTAATGGCTTGTGGTTGTTTTACAAAGGAAAATGTTTACTCTTATAAGAAAAAAATTAATATTACTTACCTTCATCTCCATCATCTCCAAAGGGGTAGAAGAGAGCAACTGCTAAATTGATGAACACAGCCAAGTTGAAGGAAATGCTTCCCCAGAGAGAGATGTGTCTAGAGAACCAGAACAGGGCTAGGTTATCTAGGAAGAAGAGAAAATCAGCATTAGAGAAATTAAAAGAAGATGTGTGAGATGATTTTTTCCCCCAAAAGACTCACTGAACCACATACAATCACAATTTACTTAAGGGACAGGGTTAGGATCAATCCTGGCATATTTAACATGTGGTTGTCAGGCTTCTCAGTCCTCCCTCCTAACTAAATAGTTCTGTTCAATGTCTGTAATAGTTCCAAAAGGCCTTATCTGAAGTCAGGGCTCCACTGTGCTACAGGCTGTACACACACAGTCAGGGTATATCTATACTGTGATTAAACACTTATTGCTGGCCTGTCCCAAACTCAGGCTTATGGGCCATGGTCTAAGGGTTTTTTTTAAACTGTGATGTAGCCTGAGCTCTAGGACCCAGAAGGTGAGTGTTGGAATTAACATTTTTAAAGTATAATCTTAATTTATGGGGTTTAAAAATCTCTCAGCATGCGGCATTTAACTAATTGAATATTATGTTTTTCTCAGGAAATTATAAAGATTCTTGGAGTACTCTCAATTTCCTGCCAGCATGAAAGATGCACCCTTGACTTGCCTGGATACTCCTGCCTGGTGTAGGGCTTTATTTGCTATCATGGGGTGCACTGTTATTTTGAGATAACTAGCGTTATTTTAAAATAGCAATGTGAGCATCTACACAGCCATTCCATTATTTCAAAGTAATTTCAAAATAACAGGTGGCTTATTCCAAAATCTGTAAACCTCATTCTTCGAGGAATGTCACCTATTCTGAAATAAGGTATGTAGATGCTCCACTGCTATTATTTTGAAACAGCCCCTCATCAGAGCCATTCTAAGTTATTTCTCCCCAGTGCCTCCTGGGGCTCTAAATCAAGATAGCACATCTACATCAGCGAAGCCAGCCTCAGACTAATTTTGAGGCTTCCTTGCCATGTAGACATGCTATTTCGAAATAACTATTCTGGAATAGCTTATTTTGAAATAGTTGTGCAGCGCAGATGTAACCATACTGTTGTACATGACTAAGAACATAGCTGGTTCTCAGAGCCAGCCCAAGCTACTGGCTGACTGGGCTACTGCTCGGGGCGCCCCATTGTAGGGGGCGTCATGTGGGGCTTCTGCGCATGCGCCAGGCACCCAGGGTGAGGCTGCACATGCGCTGCACTCCCAGGGCGCACGAATTGCTCGGGCCAGCCCTGCTGGTTCCTACAGACAGACAACTCCTCAAACTGGATCTGGTCTCAGGCTTTGTCTACTCTATACTGACAATTGAGCAACAAAGCTGTTGTTGTTCACCGGCTTAAAGCCCCTCCCCCCACATATCCAAATGACAAAAGCTTTACGTGGCCAAGTACTAGTAGTATAAATACTGTTCTGTAGTCAGGACTTCTACTGCCAACAAAGGCCACTCATGGAGAGTGGAGGGTTTTTTTGGTGGCAAAAGTGCTGACAAACAGTATTTACACTGCCTGACTTTTAGCAATGGGCTGTGTAAACATAGCAGTGCCACTACAAGTTGTGTAGTGCAGACATACCCTCAGAGTAAGATTGACTTTAATTACCTACAATTAGAGTCAAGTCACACTAAATATTAAGATTTCACTTGTGGTAAGATTAGGCTTTTAAGGATCTGGAGCCTTTGCATGAGACATCCACTTATTTCAAGCAAGGCAGCATTGTATGACAGAGCAACTCAGACATTGGGTTAAAGATTAAAAAGCTCCTGATTGTATATTGCATTTTCAAACAAAATAATATGGAAGTTTAAGTGTTCCATAGATGAAAGGAAATGTGGGCATTTCTGTTTTGGATTTAAAACAAAACACCTTAATTTATGCTTGCTTAGCATTACAGAGATCAGATCCAAGTCTGCTCTCAGACAGTGCTTGGTTTTTTGTTTGTGGGTTTTCTTTTAACTGAAATCTCAGTCCAACTTTGCGAGCAGAATAATTATTCTGAAATAGAAAAGAGAAACAATCAGCATGTTTTTGGTGGTGGCAAAAGCTTCAAGTTAAATCATGCCACTCTAGCTAGCCAAATCCTTCTGCAGTTCTGATTGTACCTAGTATCCTTCACTTCCTTCCTAATCGGTTGTGTAACATTGCTGTGAGCTGTTCAAGAGCTGCTATATTGTACCTCTGTGACATCTGCAATTTAATGGTGGGCGAAGAGATCCCGAGATATCTATATCCAACTTCCTTATCAGAAGTGTTGGGAAGCTTAATTAGCTAAAAGGCTTGATTTTCTCTAGAAGGTGCACACAGGGCTGCCGCCTGCCACCTCCTGAGCCACTAGAAGCAACTTCACTCCTACAGAAGGTCAGATGGCAGCACCACCTTCTTCCTCCCCTGAGAATTCCATCCTGAGGGGTGGGGAAGCTCTAAGTTCTATGTGGAGTTCTTGGGAAGGTACGCCCATGGAACCAATTAGATTACCCTGTGTCTTCTAGCCATGGCCCTTCTGAAACCAGCGCCACCTGCTTTCTTGTCTGTGCTAGGGGAGCTGTGCCCTCTTGTAAAGAGCTGGAGTACGTTGGCCATCAATGATTTCCAGACTGGGTTCTGCTGGGGATTAATCCAGCTGGATTTCTGTAAATGCTTAAGATCATCCTGGGATGCAAAGTGCTATTATTAAGAATAGTAATTCGCCAGGACTAGGAAATGACTACTCAGTGCAAAGTGGTCTGGGATAAACATGCAGCGCCTCACTAACTTCCTGGGAGCAACACTGTTTTACACTAGCTCAGAATCTGGCCCAAAAAATGAAAGAGGTTTTCAGTAAATTATATTTGAAAGTGTATGCAGTGAGATATGCTTCTGTTAAACATTAGGGGCAAAAATGTGGCATAATTTGGTGCAACTCTACTGTTGTCAGTGAAGTTATACTCATTGGCTACGTCTAGACTGGCATGATTTTCCCCACATGCTTTTAACGGAAAAGTTTTTCCGTTAAAAAAGCATTTGCAGGAAAGAACATCTAGATTGGCATGGAAGCTTTTCCGCAAAAAGTGCTTTTGCACAAAAGCATCCGTGCCAATCTAGACGCGGTTTTGCGCAAGAAAGCCCCGATCGCCATTTTTACCATCGGGGCTTTTTTTGCGCAAAACAGTTTTTAGCCGTCTACACTGGTCCTCTTGCACAAAAGCATTTGCGCAAGAGGGCTTTTTCCCGAGCGGGAGCAGCATAGTATTTGCGCAAGAACACTGACAATCTTACATTAGATCGTCAGCGTTCTTGCGCAAATTTAAGTGGCCAGTGCAGACAGCTGGCAAGTTTTCCCGCAAAAGCTGCTGCTTTTGTGGAAAAACTTGCCAGTCTAGACGCAGCCATTTAGTCCACAGATTAATTCTGGTCTTGTGAGCCCAGAAGATCACTTTTCCGTACGAGTGAGAGAGGGAGAGTGAGTGTGTGTGTGTGTGTGTGTGTGTGTGTGTGTGTGTTGCACAAGTGGCACATCTACAGTGATATGCAATCTTGGGCCTGGAAAATGTTTTCTTGCCATATCAAAGGCATTGGAAACAAGTGAAAATGAAAATATAAAATACCTACTTGGTAACACATAGGTTTTAAATACAGTTAGAAAACCTGAAACTAAATCCTTGAAACTATGGATAGTACTTACTCCTAATTTTCTTCTGCCACTTCATTTCATTGTACAAATCTTCTGTCTGTTGGAAAAAGTCATTCACTTTGCTCCCTTGTTCATCTCTCTCTGTGGTATTAAATACCCGACTTTTGGATTCTCGAGTGAGGAATTCACAGATATTGGGGACAGGGAAGACTATTTGTTCCATAGTTCTATCATGACGGACAATCTGTAAACACAAATATAGATGTCTTTCAGGCTCAGAGGCTTTTCAGTCATGCCACGATTCCCTTCCAATTCAGAGCTTGCTTTTATTTATAAATTGGTGTAGAACTAATTTTAAAAATTTCAACTACTCCAAGACACTACATTAAAAAAAAACCTAAGTAATTTATAGTAAAATTGTTTTTGCCTTCATAAACCTGCTTTAAAATGAGGTTATACAGGTGTGCCTCAAATAAAAAAATTCTAGGTACCAGTGTTCCCAAAATTGGAGGATGTTCCAAATCTGATCCCTGCAAACTATCACCATAAATATAATAAGCAAAAGTAAAACTCCACATCCAAACTCTCTCAGACTTTAAAGGGCATAGCAGTTGGACCAAGATGCTTGAGTCCATATCTATGAAGCTATAAATCATGAAAGGAGCTATGTGAAAACAGCACCTTGTGACTCATATAGTACCAGCTCCTACATGCCTTAGAATGTTATCTGCTTTAGACATTGTTATTACTAGTCCTTCAGAACCAACAGAACTACTTAGGCCAGGTCTACAGTAGTCCTAGCTCAGCTTAAGCTACACAACTATGTAACTGGAGTCTTCTTACCTTAAGCTGAGCTTGGTGGCATCCCCACAGCTGGAGGCTGATGGGAGCAAATGCTCCTGTCGGCTTCCCTTACTCTTCGCAAAAGCTGGAGTCTTAACTAGACTCGCTAAATCGAGCTCCGGAAGATCGATCATGGTAACAGTGATCTTCCTTTTAGTGTAGACAAGGCCTTAGGAGTGAGCTGGTTTCTATTCTGACTCATATAATCATTAAAACTGTTTCCTGGAGTCTGTATTACTGGGGAAATAGTAAGAGGCAGAAAACATATCTTGGATCTCAGATCCGTGGTTCTTTGGATCAACATTTGGCTCACTAAACTGAACAAACTGGGTATGCTGAGATGAGACAGTATATATACAGAACACCACTATTGGCCCAGTTCTGGCAAACCTCTCATCTCAAAAGAAGCAGTGTTAGGCTTAGAATCACTTACATCCTCAATTTTAGCCACCACTTTGGCTAAAAGTTTTGCAAAAACTAACTTATCTATCCCTTTTGAAATGATTTGATACTTAAAAGCAATTTATGTATGTATCTTCCCCTCAGGGAAAGGATAGAAAAACTCCGTGTCCTTCTGTATACTGGCGCACAGCGAATGTAGACAGCTCATGAGTGAGTTGACCATGTGAAAGAGCCTTGGGTTCTGATGCCTCACCTGTACCTCTCAGTCCAGGGTCATGTGATGGGGGCCTATGACTAGCAACTAAGGCAGCTGGGGAAGAGAAGGGCAGCCTACATACAATCAGGAAAGAGAACAAAAGGAACAGGAGGGTTGTGAGAGCTGCACCACAGACATCTGCAGAAGACTCAGGATGAGACACAATCTGTGCAGGGGCTCTCCACAGTAGCTGGGTGAAACAACTTGGCTGATGCCTTCTGCTATGAAGGGTAGGGGCCTGAAAAGAAAGAGGCTGTAGGAAATGCCAACAGCAGGAACTGGGGTTGGGAAGGAGCTACTGAGCCCAGGTGGAGCTTACAGAACTTTGAAGAGTTGATTTTCACATAGGATGATGTTGAACTGTGATTTTCTTTTAATAATCCAGATCCCAGAATGGATGTGGTTTGACATGAGAGTATATATGCAATTATGGTACTCACCATTAATCAACTAGTTTTTCATCAGACAGTCACAGTTTCCAAATGACAGCCCTGTGACCTCATAAACATGTCCCCTTAAAGATGCCACCCTGGAATGCTACATCTTCTACAACTGCCAAAGTCATTAAATGTTTTTCCATCTGAAAGGTGGATGTCATTTAGAATCTGGAAAGGAGCCGATGAACCAAACCCACCTCATCCTCTCAGGCAAAAACTGCACTGAATCTTCATGCTACTTCAAAAACTTCTTTGTACTGTAATTCTTATTTGATCCATAAACCTCCTTGGCTTGAAAAGCAGGGCTTAGATGACTGATGTGCTACACAAGAGTATTCTTGTCTTTAAGACTGCTGCTATCCCTACTCATTATTTCCACAACAAGAAATGTTCCATATCACACAGGGAAGCAAGGGTTGTACAATTGTTTGAAATATAGACTATTCATGCCTTTTTCCCCTTCCCCAGTAGGATATTCTTCAGCTGTTTTCCTTCCAAAATAATATACTCTATTTAAATACATTTTGTTCTTCAGGAGAAATCTAAAGAGAAGCTTTAGGAGGAAGCAAACTAGCCACAGACCACAATAGTTTCCCTTTCAAAGAGCCATTTTTTACCTCAATCTGTGCTGTGTGATTGGCATAGTACTTCAAGGCTTCATCTCCTCCGTCATCTGGATCAGACCCTGGCTTCAGCATCTGCTGCAGTGTTTTATTGTGCCGAGCCAACTAGGAAAAAAAATCTGATTTATTTCCTCTTCTCAGGTTCACCATTTTACACCACCCCAAACATCTCTCAAAAGGGCCTTTTTCTGTAAACGATTACCAAATATACCATCTGCTGGTAACCATATATATAAATTGGTGTTAAAAAACCCTGTTTACATAAGCAAGTCTCCAGCTAGGTTTTATGAATACTGACTCTACCAGCAGTCCACGTCTTTTTGCAAGGCTTTTAGAGACACCACAAAGTTACAATAGCACTATCCCAGTGAAGTACACACAAAATCGATAGCAATACTTTTCCAGATTACATAATTACATTCTAAATTTCTCCTATGATTTCAAATGGATACGTTTTTTTCCAATATGCCGTTGTGTGATGTTGCTGGTCCTGTTAAATAACTGATGTTTTACTACCCCAGAGGCAGCTGCAGCACCTTGTTGAGCAAAATACCTCCTATATGGTACATACTCAAAATATTTCAGAACTTGTTAGATATTTAAAGAGCGTCTTAAATACAGTTTATTATTATTGAGACACAAATAGACTTACGAAGTTATAATACAAGTCCCTTACTTTAATGAGAAACTTAACCTAATTTTAAAAACTCAGGAGCTGCTATGGAAGATGGCAAGTAGCTCTTTTATAGCCCTTTTCAACAACAGAGCTCAAACCACTTTACAAGTAATCCAGTATTGTTACCCCATTTGACTGATGGGAAAACCGGAGTATGGGGAGGTAAAGTGACTTCCCAAAGATCATCCAGCAGGGCAGTAGCAGTTCTGAGAGTAGAATCCTGTTCATCTGAATCATAAGAATGACCATACTGGGTTAGACCAAAGGTCCATCTAGCCCAGTGTCCTGTCTTCCGACAGAGGCCAATCCCAGATGCCCCAGAGGGAGTGAACAGAACAGGGAATCCCCAAGCAATCCCTCTGTTACCCATTCCCAGACTCTGACAGAGGCTAGGGACACCAATCCTACCCATCATGGCTAATAGCCATTCATAGACCCAACCTCCATGAATTTATCTAGTTCCTTCTTGGACTCTGTCCAGTGCTCTACTAAGCCATAAAAAAGTGAGCATAGTATAAGAGAAATCCCACCACTCAATATGACCAATATACCAAGGCTAGTGATCCATACAGAATGCAGTTTGGATTGGGGCTGTAAAATCTGAAATTAACAAAGCAGGACAATAATCCATTCTAGCAGTAACACAGGTCTGAATAAATCTGTTTCTGAAAGGGATATAGTTCGTTTTTAGGTTATTGTGACGTTTGCAAACCTTATCCCTCCATTTCTTATCTAACAACTCATAGATTTGCCATTTATCCAGGATATTGAGATTGCCAGAAACCAGTAGCTAAATTGAATTTATTCTTAATGTGGGAATGTACTTACATATTAATAAATAGTATGCAAAGCATCAGAAAATAAGAGAATGCCAAAAAACAGAGAAAACCAACCAGAAAAACATCCTATGACTTCCTAATTGACTACAATGCTTTTCTGCCTCTATGCTGGAGCTCTATAATTTCTACACTGGTTCAGCTCAGCGGCTCATCTAATCCAGTACCTTTTCTCTGAAAACAGCAGACATTTCAAAGGAAGATACAAGAAACCACACAATGGACAATTATGGAGTGACATGCCAATAGAGAAAAATCTTCCTGGCTTAGGTGACTTAGGGTATGTCTAGACGACATGGCTCTGTCGACGGAGCCATATAGATGAGTTAACTAGACACAGGAAAATGAAGCAGCGATTTAAATAATCGCCGCTTCATTTACATCAAAATGGCTGCTGCACTGTGCTGATCAGCTGTTTGGTGGCACAGCGCGGTAGTCTGGACGCTCTGAGGTCGACATGGGAAGCCACAAGGCATAACGGGGCGGTCAACAAGGATTTCCCTTGTCAACCACGGAGCGTTTCCTCACCCTGATATAGATGGTGGATAGGAGTTTCAATTTATATTATTGTTCCTTTATGCCACAGGAGCAGTTTCAAGGTGCAAAAGTGAACATAAATATACATTTATGCCAACTTTAAGGCTCCTTTCCACTGCCAGAGGGGTGTAAAGGGACCTTGGTGTTGAGGAGAGTCAGGCCCACTGTCTTATAAAAATAACTGGGCAAAATGTCTTGAATTCTGCTGAGAGTGTCAGTTCCCTGGAAATGTGTTGAATAAAAATGTTGTAGATGTTATATGTTTTAATTCCTGGGGAAGAGTGCCTTAAACTCTGGCATGAGTTCTGAATGAACACAAATATGAAATTACGGAACTATTAACCATGGCATGTGCACTATCCCTTCAATCACTATTACTGTACCAGATGGCTGGAGGGTAGTTAATGCAATGCCAATTTTAAAAAAAGGCTCCAGAGGGGATCCTAGTAATAAAACACCAATAAGCCCATCTTCAATACCAGGTCAAAACTGTAGTAAATAGAGAAACATCAGATACATAGCTGAATATGTTCTGCTGGGAAAAAGTCAACACAACTTTTGCAAAGGGAAATCATGCCTAATTGATCTGTTAGAATTATTTGAGGGGGTCAAACAAACATGTGGACAAGGGTAATCCAGTAACTTTTAACAAGATTCCTTCATTAAAAGCTCTTAAGCACAGCAAGCAGTCATGCAATAATTGAAATAGCAAAGGAAGGTCCTCTCATGGATCAGTAACTGGTTAGAAGGAAAGAAAGAGTAGGAGTTAAGTGCTCAGTTTTCACAGTGAAGCGAGGTAAATATTAGCCCATAAATGATATGGAAAAAAGGGAGTGGCAAAATTGGCAGACAATGCAAGATTACCCAAGACCGCTAAGTCCAAAGCTGGCTGTGAAGAATTATAAAGGGATCTCACTAAACTGGGCTGACCAAATAATAAAATGGCAGATGAAATTCAATGTTGAGAAATACAAAGTGATGGACATTGGAAAATAGAATCCCAATTACACAGACAAAACGATGGGTTCTAAAGGAGTTCTTGTCACCCAAAAAGAAATCCGGGAGACATTGTTGACAGTTCTCTGAAACATCTGCTCAGTACGCAGAAGTCATCACAAAAAAGTCAAACCTGTTAGAAACCATTAGGAAATGGATAAGTAATTAAAAAACATTGTGCTGCCATACAGATCTGTGCTCTACCAACCTACATAAAGTCAGAATGTAACTTTTTGAGATGGGACAACCAGAATTGCCAGGCAGTAAGGCAGCATGGCTGCTCACTGACTCAGAAGGGGAGGAGCCCTTCCCAGTGCCCTGGTGGGCTACAAGCACACAGTATGCAAGATGTCGGCACAGCATTCCCCCCATTTTCAATCCTGCTGCTGGATTTTGCTGCATCCTCCACTTAACAGAATAAAAAACAACCAACCTCCCCCCGTAGAATAGCTGTTTACAGGGACTGATAAAGGGAAGGGGGCTATGCAAACCAAAATGTGACAATATTCCCTTTCCAAATCCCACCTTTTTATTGCAGTCATCTGGACAACACTAGCCACCTATGAATTAGAAGCATGTGCTAAGAAAGCAAAGGAAAGCGAACAGTGGAGGTGCAATTCTCATTCTAGACAGGTATCAGAGGGGTAGCCGTGTTAGTCTGAATCTGCAAAAGCGACGAGGAGTCCTGTGGCACCTTATAGACTAACTGAAGTGTAGGAGCATAAGCTTTCATGGGCAAAGACCCACTTCATCAGATGCATGAGACGCATGCATGAGATGCATGCATCTGACGAAGTGGGTCTTTGCCCACGAAAGCTTATGCTCCTACACTTCAGTTAGTCTATAAGGTGCCACAGGACTCCTCGTCGCTCATTCTAGACAGACACCATCCTAGACATCCTACCTTACTCTTACTCATCCAATAAAAGCTAGTGGTATTAGCCAGCAACTAAGTGATGATCAGCAGATAGAAAGAACAGACTGGAGGGCAACTCATGCTCATGCTTGGGAACCACAACAAATCAATGACCCGGAGTAGGTCAGCCTCATCACTGCAGGTGATTCAGAGGAAAAAAAAAAACAATTTAATGCCACTAGCCATACTCTAGGAGGGAAAACAGGCTCCAAGTTTCTACAACCCTATGCAGGAGAACAAGAGCCACTATGATTAAGTGTCTGTTTCTACCCTCAGATACTACCCACGTCTTAAGTAATTTTCCATTCTTGATGTAAAGAAATTGTCATCAGCTTTTAAGACAGAGTTTGCCAGCTGGAAATCTCTACAGGTTCACACTTCCCCTGAAAGGGCAATAACCCAATTTTAAATAAGTCCTTTGCAGAACACCTCTCACGCACAAGTCCTCACTCAGACTCTGATGTAAGACTTCATCTCTGGTAGCATGGTTACAATTCAACACCATGTATATTTCTATTAATCAGGATGCCTCTGCTGCAATAGAAACAATGTGTCAGTGGTATATTACATGTATTTCTGTGCAGCTAGTATTCTGCACTGTGATTTACAGCGACTTAAAGGAAAATCTACTTTGAAAAGTGACTGTAAAAATGGCATGGTGGGGTTTCACATTTATGGACACCTGGATCAAATTTGCTCAGTTCAGAAGCAGAATGATTTTTCTCACTGTTACTCTCACCTCTGCAGACTCAGCCTGAAAGCCGAGCGGCGTTCTTTCTGCTTCATATGCGTCACCAGTAATGAAGATTCTGCAGGATAAATGCTGCCCTCCAATACAGTGTTACTGGCAGCATGGCTTCCGTGGAAAGCACCAATGGAACTGCGAGCAGAACGTAAATGCAATGGGACAGATTTTTGCCTAGGACAAATCAGTATAGCTCTGTTGACTACAATGGAGCTTTTCCAGTTTACACCAGCGGAATATCTGTCCCAATAAGAAGTGGGTCCTTCAGAAGCCAGTCAGGGAAAAATACTACAGGTGAAACAGGAGTTAGAAGAGAATACAGCTTATTCCCCCAAGAAAATAATAACTATATGCTCGTCACTAATGTGAGCAGATAAGATTGTGAATACACACAGTGAG